TGACTCAATTTTAGTTTTTTTCAAGAGTGAAATTAAAAATTTTTAGGCATTTCAAAATCTTTGTATCTTGTAACAACTACAATGCTTAAGCAATTGAAAAATATTTCCAAACACAAAAAAATTACTTAGCAATATGATACATATTAATGTGGCTGAAAGAAGAAGATAGCAAATATTTCCAAATCCACTTTTCTTTAAAACTGCTATAATAAAACATCTGTTATTCCCAACTGTAAATGGCTTATTCTATGTTTCCATACCTTTAGAACATTTGGATCTCAGCGGCCTCCAAAAAAGGCAATATGCTGCTCTTTTCTTGCCCAAAGGATAGATAAACTAACACTTTATCACGCCCAAATGATTTCTTCTTAGTAAGTTACAGTTTATCAATTTTAATTTTATTCTAGCAGTAATATATATTATATTATTCTTAGTTGCAAAAATAATTATGAACAGAGTTCCATTCAGAACACAGTGCTAAATTATGATTAGTTCTTATCTGTTCTGTAAGTAATTTTATTCACATTATTTTAAGAAGCATGACCTAAGCTCTATCACCCAACATAATTGTTCTTCACATCAAGATCATTTCTGTGGTGGAGCTTTCTCAATGAAAAAGAGAGTGTGGTTTCTTACTAATGTTAATTTAAGCGAGTAGCCCATTTTTAACGTCAGATGGTAAGAGAGTGTTTTTAATCTTTCAGTAATTTGTATTTGATATAAAGTTAATGTGAATAGAAAAATCTATATTAGCCCTGTCTCATTAAACTCTCAGAGTACATGGTGATGATAAAAGGGTACTTTTTAAACTTGAGATAGCTAATGCGATAAAAAATACCTTTAGCACATTGTTGTGAAGACACAATCTTAATGTCTTTCCAATTCTATTAGCTGACTTTAAAGATGGAAAACCATGTTAAGGAGTATTTCACAAGATGTCAGCACACAATTTTAAAAAGATCCTTTTTCATCATTTAGACAAAGCCTCACAGGCAAAACAGACAATGAGTGTTCTACCGGATAAAAATGATGATTAGAGATAATAAATACTATGGAACAAGTTCATTAGCATTACAAAAGGATTTCTCACAATCAAAGCTCACCACAATATAGAAAGGCAGAAAATATGGGTTAAAAGTGCCAATTTGTTTTGCCCCATCTCCAGATGAATTATTTGGGTGATGAAATATATAGGTCAGGCATCAAAGCATGAAGCGAAATGCTCTGGCACCATCACACAATGCAATACTGAGTGAGGTTGGGGACTGATCCCTGTGAACTCTGCCTACGGATAAGTGAGTATGTGGTGCATCATGCAAACACAAAAGAAGAAATGCCTAGGCTGTGAAGGAGATACCAAAGAGTCTGGTAACAAAATGAAAAAATATGTATGGTTCAGAAGTTCATTATGAAATTGCAACTAACCACACAAATTCTAAACAGCTAAAAGTGTTTAATCTGATCTTTTAATCACTTAGTCTAGTTGCTTGTCTGTCTCAAGGACAGGCTTCAAAAGGAAAGAAGCTTTATCTTCCCTTTTAAAAAAAGAAGATGGCTTCTGGGACAGGAATTGCAGTGGCAAATCCTGAAGACAAGCCCTATATAAATTTTCAGTTGTTCCCTTTGGAAACGGGGCTCTACTGCAGTGGTCTAGCACATGCAAAATAGGTACAGCAGGTTGACAATTAATTACACTTCCTGCTACAATGGACACCCACACAAACTGTTTTATTCTGGTACAATGCATTTATCCTTGAAGTATACACTGGTTTTGAACTATTGATGTATTACTGTTACTGTAAAGATTCTGAGGGTAGGTATAGCCTTATTTCAGAACCAGCAGCCCCCAAACAAATCACAGAAAATTTTTAAGCTAGGTAGTATCTCTTTTTATCTTCAAAAGCCTATTTAGGAGAGAAGGCTTCCCATTCATGAAAACTCTTGAGATTTCGATTCTCACACAACGTAACATCTACACCAGGAACACTGAAACATCACAGCTAGCACTCACCATGAGTCATATGCAGGTCTAGAGATCTTCTATATCCCGAGCATCTGTCATAATAACCTTGACAATAGTACCTCAGCTTTTCTGACACTGTAAAACTTAGTAATGTATTTCTTGAGTTTCAGAGAAATGGAACACATTTTGAAGGCAACTGCTGTGTAACTCACCCCTGAAGAGTTCACCGTTCCCAAGGTGGATGTCTGAGGGACTCTGGCTGAAGATGGGCTACGATTTAGAGAATGAGACCTGTTCACTGAGGACGCTCGCTGGATTTGCAGAGGTGCTTTGGCTGAAAAGGGACGTTGCTCAGCTGCCTGTGACTGCATAGTCAATATTGATATTGAACGAGGGCAGCTCACAGAACGCCTTATTGGACCTGTGGATGATGTGGGGGATGAATATGATGGAGATTTTACATTTTTGGTTCCAGGTTTCCAGTTCATTCTACCTGCAGACAAATTAAATGAATGATGTAATTACTTATTATTTCTCTTAATGCCCATTTTTCAGTCTATATGAGAACATTTATTTCTTAGTCATACTCAGCTTTAATCAGGTAGACTCCAGACCTCTATAACATGCAGCAGATTTACAAGAGAGGGTACGTGCCCTACAGGTCAAAAAGTATGTGACTACTGGTTTTCCTGACTGTAAGAATAAGGAAACAGGAGAGCAAAGTGGCCAATGGATCCCATATTTGCAGATCTGGTATTCCTCATCTGCTCCTGCACAGCTGTACAGTTTTTTTTAATTCAGTCACCTGCTAAATAAATGCTGCTATGAAAAATAAAATTTTAGAAGTAGCACTACACGTGCAATTACATGATGAAATTCTTTGAGAATTCTACTCTACTAAAACAAAAAATAACATGCTGTATCTATTAATTTAGGAAATATTTTAAAGAAAATGAAACAAGCAAACCAGAGTTCAGACCTGAGGTACAAATGTTGATGCATTCCAAAATACTGAAGAATTTCATACAATTCATTGTGAATGCTAGACTTACTTGGAAAAATGATCATTTAACTTGCCTGATCGTTCCAAAGATTTGTATTTATCTTCTTCAAGATCATATGAAACTTTTTTCTCTTTTTTTTCATTGTGATCTTCCTTTTCAGTTTCTTCTCCTGATTCTGACACACTGCTACTGCTATCACAGCTGCTATCACTATTGTAGTTCTTGAGTTTCCTTAAGTGATGTGCACTTTCTGGCATTGAACACAAGGGCTAAAACAAAAATCCAAAACCAAACAAAAAATAATTAATCCCAAAGGAACAGAACAGGTGACTATCACACTATCAGGTCCCTGATTCAGGCAGGCACAGGAAGGATTTGCGCAGCTATAGACCCTCCCTAATTAGATTGGAAGTTTGTCCTAAATTTTAGTATAAATGCTTAAATATTTCATTACATTCACAGCACAGTCATTCTAATCTTTCTCACATGAAGAGCAGCATAATATAGTAAGGGAAGGAAAAATTATTTTATTATGACTTGCACTACCAGACATCAAATTATCATCTGAAATCATAAATCAAGTGGTACAGAATACCATTTACAATCAGTTTAGGTCCCTCACTGATATTTGCAATTACTAAAACTACATTTTAACAATGATCCACATGAAGTAAAAAAATGCATCAGGGAACTTTGGCTGTTACACTTCTGAAAAAGCAAGTGATGACACCACATCCTGCAGAGAGCAGCAACTGGAAGAATATAGCAAGCTATTACTGGGTGTTCTTGGTCCCCCATAGCATTCAGTGTCATTAACTAATTAATCTTGTGATATTACCAAGGATACTGAGAGACAAAAAAAAATCAAAAAGTAGGTGTTGTGGTTTA